GTCATTACTGAATGGTCAGTGTGGTCATAGTTGACCTCGATTAACTATGGTGTGGTCCAAACTTCGGGACTAACAGCAACATATTTTTCCATACTGCCAGAGTAAACTCAGTCAATCGATGTTTTAAATTCAATGATGGTTATATTGATTGAGATTTTCATTTTTACTTCTGGTTGTCAGACGGTAACCAATCAACATGTGACATACATTCCAGCCTGGGTGGCCTGCATTAACAGGACCACAGGGAGGCCTGGTTATCGTTCAGCCCACTGGAAGAGTGACAACTACAGCACTAGCTTTCCCTGCAGTAGCCCAGCCTCAAGTTTATGTTCAACAGCAAGTTCATATGAGTTCTACTTTGAAAAAAAAGATAGTGGTCTCAAATAAGGGTGAGTGCACTCCTAATGAGTGCACATAGTTACTTTCAAGTTTGCAGTGTCAAAACTCGTTCACCTAAAATTACCAAAAATCTAAATAGAATAAGAAAGATGGTAAGTTTTGGACTTGGTAAAGAAATGGAGAAAGAGGTTTTTTTGTCTTGTCATGAGCATGGGACAAAGAAAAAATTATACTTGTTTGTTTTTTTTAAACTTGATTTTATTTTGTGATTGTGTTTTTGTTTGTTTGTTTGTTTGTTTGTTAATTTTCATTTGTTCTTGTTTACTTTTGTCTGTTTCTGTTCACATCTGTTTGTTTCTTTCTTTCTCTGCTCTTCTTACTGACAAAACTCAAACAAGTTTATAGTCTATCAAAAACAAGGATATGATGCTAGTCTACCACATAGTGGTGTCTAGTTAAGTCTAAACCAAATAGATTTATCCTTTTCATATAGAATACTTCACGGAAAGTCTGTCTGTATAGTTTTTACGCATCCGTGGTAGTAACGGAAATTGAATAACATGAAGTCTCGTTACCAACTTTTTTCATCCATTTGGAAAGTGCGCAATTTAATTACCTTAATACAGGGCTTAAGTCAATACAGTTATTATAAATATCTTTTTAACCCAGCACTGCAAAATTTGCCACACAACGGCTTCTTTATCTTTCATTTTTCTGCGATTTGATTGGTTACTTTAAACAACCTTTGAAATCTAATGTTTTTGCCTTAATGTTTCTTTCTCGTTGCCTGGCAGAACATACAATTTTAAATTTGAGCAAACCATGTGCACTTCATGAATGAATTGCACTGCTGAGAGCTAATCAGATTGCAATGAGCTATAGATTTAAAAGTGGATGCAAAAAAAGGGTTTTAAACACCTGTTGTAAGTCGAGTACATAACTTTGAGGCCCGTTCGTGTGTGTGCCATTTATGAATCAAAAACCTGACATTGACGCTGATTTCTTTTTTTAACTTCATTACACACACAGCCTGGGGTAACCATCCAACAGCCTGCCTACTGGGCTGTTCCCCCTGGGTCCAACCTGGCTGGTACAGTGACTGTGACACACGCAAGTGCTCTTGGCCCACAGACACAGACTCAAATACAATCTCAGGTATGCAAAATAATGAGTAGCTTTTCTTTCACAGAACAACCTCCAAAAAATTTGCAAACCCCTTCATATTTTCAAAAATTCATTTTTTCCTTAAAAACACTGGAAATAGAAAAATGCATTCAAAGGCGACAAAACGACACGGTTTTAAAAGCCAGCCCCTTTTTTCACCGCAAATTTTCGAATGCCTGAGCCCTGTGTTATTGACCGTCTACCTGTAACGTAACCTTTCGTTATTCTGTTCTGCCGTTATTGAACAGGCTGCATGAACAGCATAGCCTACGAGATACAACACAGCGGTCAAACGTAGGGCATGCGCAAGGGGATTAATTTTGGTCGGCCGAGGGCCAATTTCCTGCGCAAAGTTCAGAGGAGACGGAAGGAAAACCTGTCACGCCAAATATGTGAAACAAAGAAACAAATGGTACGTTCACGTAAAGCCGTAAGGATATATCGAGACTTTTCGAACACAAAGCTTATTCAAGTATGGACATCTTGTTGAGTTACCATTACGTTTTGAGCTTTACCAAGAAAGGTTTTCAGACATTGCCACTTACTCGCTTGTACGACTGTCAGTAAATGGGTATCATACATCAATTCCCGTACAAACCTAATTTTTTTTTTACGTAGAGTTCTCTCGCTGATGGTTATTGCTGTGTTCATAAAGATGATATTCCGTGATTCAACTCCCGCACAAGCCTGATTTTTTTTTAAATGGAGTTCTCTCGCTGATGATTGTTGCTGTGTATATAAAGATGATATTCCGTGATTCAACTCCCGCACAAGCCTGATTTTTTTTTAATAGAGTTCTCTCGTTGATGATTTTTGCTGTGTATATAAAGATGATATTCCGTGATTCAACTCCCGCACAAGCCTGATTTTTTTTTTAATGGAGCTCTCTCGCTGATGATTGTTGCTGTGTATATAAAGATGATATTCCGTGATTCAACTCCCGTACAAGCCTGATTTTTTTTACACATACACCTCTCCCTTGGTTTATGTATAAAATTTACCTCAGTGGAAAGCTTGATCGTGTGGTCCTGCGAAGTACTGCTATCTCTGACATTTTATCGTCAACTAAAAGTGAATTTATCACCACATCTGGTTTTATATTTGGGAAAGTTGTCTCCCAAAGCGCTCAGAACACGAGCCTCGGCCAAGATCTTTCCTTTCTGAATTAATTAACAATTTCAAGTGCCTTACGACAGTCACTTTTCTAAAAATGTCACGTGTAATTTAAGTTTCTTTTTTTTTCCGCCCACGGATGCTAGTTACTGATGAGAGGCCACCACCCTATGCCACATATATGCAGAGGAGTAATCCTTCACCTTGAGGTGTTTCACTTGCTGCTACCCCGTGTGGACTGGTTGATATTTGAGTCTATGCGGTAATGGGGCATAATTTATTTTGAAAGTTTCTGTAAGTAGCCGACCAAGCATTTAGTGTAGCCTTGTAAAGGACCATTTCATCTGAACTCGACAAATATGTTGCCTGGAATTGTGGCCTTTTTATATGAAAATAATTTTCATCTCGGTTACCAAGTTGAAAAAGAAATATTATTTTAAGTTTTTCCCAGTAATCGGGCTGTGGTCTCCCCTAATGGTAAATTGTCCTTCTTCATAACCCAGATTTATTTATCGAGAAGCAGGACCTTTGTAAGCTCTTTAGCTCATCTTCGAAGCTCACTTCTTCGTATGGAAACAGTATGATTTGAGCTATGAAAATTGTGGCTAAGTGCATGGGATGTTGGTGATCAAGCCACCCCCCCCCCCCCCCCCCCCCCCCCCCCCCCCCCCCCCCCCCCCCCCCCCCCCCCCCCCCCCCCCCCCCCCCCCCCCCCCCCCCCCCCCCCCCCCCCCCCCCCCCCCCCCCCCCCCCCCCCCCCCCCCCCCCCCCCCCCCCCCCCCCCCAATGGTGTTAGCAGACACTTAAGACGGAAAGGGTTGTAACCCAATTTTTTTTTAATTTAACTGCAACTCCTAATGGTTACTACATTTCAATCAACTTAAGATTGTCCAACGCTGCCTGACCAACATAAGTATCATTTTTTTCTCTAACTTTTCTACTGACACAACGTCCAACACTGTGAATTGTTGTTTCCTAACGCCAATATCCATGTAACCCGTCCCGTTCATTTCATTTGTGAGTAGAGATCAAAAGCTGGGCGAGTGGCAGAAAAAAAAAGGGGAGGGGGGGAAGGGGAGAATGAGAACCCTGCCAATTTTCTCTCGACCAAAAATTTATTTGTCTCCACTAGCAGGAGTGCCTACCTGAGGCTAGTATGTGTCATGGACCCGAGAGGAATCTTTTATCGCCGTAAATATACCCTTTGTTTTCTTTCGTAGTAACAATCCTAAGCATATGGTCCGTGATTATTTTGAAGTTGTGTGAGAGTGGTTATAGTGTAGTAATTTCTATTTTAGTAATAGCACAAGGCTTGGTATTGAATATTAGGCGAGAAGAAATAATTAAATCTTCCTAGATGATACGGGAAGAAATGTTAAAAAAGTTAAAAGCCTCACAGAGTTATGCAAGAAGGGGGGTGGTATTTTAAGTTCAAGTTTTTGACTTCGAATTCTGTGATGGTACATGAAAACGAGGATACATTTAGATGTACTTTTTATTCAAGTGGTAATTTATTCTATTTATATCAATTTATTTTCTTTGCATGCTGGGATTGTATAAAGACTAATTCCAGTTTGATAGTTTCTTCTAAAATAGTAAATCCTTTCGTTTATTTATCGGAGATAAGTCCTACATAGTTCGTACAACTTTTCTAAACGAATTGTTTGCGAAATTTAAGATTGGTAGTAGCCTGGTGCTTCTCTCTTGAAATCAAATCGCTTTTTACTTGCGATACTTTGGCGTTCTTGTGTACATTATGAGAGGTATCCTTCTCACTAACCTCGTTCCTAGTAAGCTTTTCGCTTCTAATGGTTGTTCGCCCCTCCCAACAGGGCGCTGTGTGAACAAGATCGAGAGTTCGCCGTAAAAAGTTTGATATTGAAATTTATTATTTATTGAATTTTCCTCCGATATTTAAAATACTAGTTTCCTCCGCAAGTTTTTTTTCTTTTCTTTTTCTTTCTTTCTTTTTTTTTAGTTTTTATTGTTTGGCCTCTTGGGCTATTTAAAAGCTACTTCAAACTGATTAAAAATTTTACAAGGAAAATTTTTTTTTTGAATCACTCTGTACAATTGCTACTTTGCGTTGTGAAAATACCTGTTAAATCAATTGTTATATTAATCATACTTGCATGTGGAATAGCTAGGGTGTAAAACCTTTCACATATGTACAAAACAAATTAAAGTGAATAATCGCACGATTTTCACACAACCGATCATCTGCCACTTTCTTAAGCAACGTTTCTTCAAAAATAAGTCAAAATAATTTCAGAAATCAATTCAACATTTACTGATCCAAAAAATTAAACAAATTTTGAGTACCACGGCGATTTAAATAATAGTGCCATACAGTTATGAATTGAAATATTCACGATGATCTTGCCTTGCAAACAATTTTTGTTTGCGCTGATTATATGTAAAACAAATATCGTCCGCTGAAAAGTTTAAAATAATGGTGAACGGCATAAGTTAACTGAAATTTTCCTCGAGGAACTTTAAGCCATGTTCAAGGTACTTTAAGCCTTGTCCTGCCCCTTTAATGGCAACTTTGAAAACCGATTGACTTCCCCCTGGTTGAATTTCCACCGATTGACTTTCCGCCAGTTGACTTTCCGCTAATTAACTTTCCGAGTCTCTTTAGGGAAGGCTTGATCTTTTTGGTTTAAGGTACTCCTCAATTTCTGTTTCTTCGTTCATACGAGCCAAGTCAGCGGCATCCTTTCCATCCACTTTCAAGTTAAGGTCGGCGTTCATTTCAACCAGTCTTTTAACAACTTGAATGTTGCCATACATCGCTGCCAAATGCAGTGGTGTGAAACCGTCCGCGTCGTAGGCGTTTATATCTGCTTTGTATTTCACAAGCAAATCTACAATCTCGAGACTAGCACTCTTGCTAGCAACATGAAGAACTGTCCGACTTTGTGTGTCAGGAAAGGTAGAAACCATTTCCCCGATACTCTTCCGTATGTCCTCTGGAGGATCCTTTCCCCATCCACTCGTGAGGACGCGTCCAAAGTCTGCAACGTCAAGACCACCACCTTTGGTCCGCCTCAAGAACAAGGGCAAAAGAGCTTTGTTAACTAGGACATAATGCCAGGCTTGCTTTCCTCTGTCCTTCCCACGAACAAGGTACATTCTCTCACTTGCATTCTCCTTGTGTTTCATATTCACATCCGCTGCGCTTTCAAGTAAACGTTTGACAATGTGTTTGTGTTTTTTACGGACGGCTGTGTAAAGCGCAATATGGCCGGCGTTGTCGCGCAAATTGATGTCGCATCCATACTTTAAAAGGATGTCAACGGCCATGTAGTTGTTCCAACAAGCTGCCGAATGCAAAGGTGCAATCTTGTCGTCTGTCCTCTGAGCATTTACGTCAGCTCCAAGATCAGTGAGGGTCTTGATAAACTCACCAGAGGCTGATTGACTTGCCCACAACAAAGGTGTACGGTTGCTCTTTCCTGGGATGTTTATATCCACACCTTCGTTTAGAACAATCTCGACAGCCTTCTCTACATCATTGTTGTCTTGACACAAGTGCAGCTCAGTTAATGTATCGAACTTCTCAACTTCCTCTTGGTACAGTTCTTCTATCTTAAGATATCCCTCTCCTTTATCTTGGAGAGCTAAGAGAATCTCTGGCGCAGTTTTTCCAGGAAATGCCTTTGCTTGGCTTCCTGTTTTTTGTGAGTTCATGTCTTGTAAAAGATTCGCAAGGCAGGCAGCAGCACTCAGAAACGTGTCATAGTCGCCTTGAAATACAGCCGCCTGCAGTTGATTGAAGCCGGATCGTGCATCTACATGGAGGAAAGCATTCCTTGAAAGGGATCTGAGACTAGGCTGAAAAAATAGTTATGTACTGTAAATTAAGGAAACAAATGAAAGTGCTAATTGAAAAACGTCTATTGCAAATGAATGAGATTATTTCAAAATAAAAATTGATTGAAGTAACTAGATCATCTAAATGTTTCTATCTTGTAGTACATTGATATAACTATGATTTATTACGACAAGTTCCCCACCGATTTCAAACTAAGATCTAGCCCATAACTTGAAGGTTATTGTTTAAGAACAGAAAATAGTAATGTTGTATCAGGCCCGTTGGCAATGGCGACAAAAAGACTGTATTCTATCTGGGTCTCATACTTCCTAAGAATATTTCAAATTTAAATTCGTAGCGCATATTCGTGATAAATGAAATGACAAGACAAAACGAAAGCAACCAAGATGAGCCAAATGAGTGGGAAAAAACAGAGAGAGTTTATAACTACCTACCAAAGCATTCATTGGAAATAGCTAAACTTATTTATACAAAAGATTTTGTTTGCTGAAAGCTATACAAATCAGTGAACCCTTTAAATCCCAAGATTGTTAATTCTCCCCTCTACCTGCGACACATTTCCTGGTAAATTATAGTAAAAGGGGTAAGTTTCTAAAGAAACTGTGATGCTGCGTAGGTGGGAGAGTGTAACAGGGCAATTTAGTGTTATCAAATGAGTTCGCCCTTCGTCAGAGTGATGAAACAACGCTCAAAACGTCAGCTTTTAAACTCTTTAGGGTGGCCACTTCACGTTATCAACAAGTACTACATTTCGTAAATTAGTAACGAGAATTTGGTGTTCGATCAAGTTAACAACTTCCTGATAAGTTTGAGATTTCCCATTACCCGTTTGGTGGATAATACATTGATATTATAAAGAGAAGTGACATGTTAATCGCTTGTGGGAGTCAAAGGGTTAACCCGAGACAAATGAACACAACGGGGAAACAGAAGGATCAAATAACACCTGTTAAGCGAGCTGGGAAGCTAAAGGCCTGGAGACAGACCACACTACGCGCATTGCTTTATCTAAATGCCTCAACCTGTTCCCACTCGGTGGGGTTACCATTCTTGGACGTAGTTTACTTTATCACCGTACCGGTTGGTTGTAACTGGAAGTCGCATTATTTCTCAGGAGCAGCGCAGCTACGTATCGGTGATTGTTGCGATAAGCCTTCTGTAAAGGCGTTTTATGAAACTGAAAGATAAAAAGTTCACCTCGGTCAAAACAAGACAGTTACTACAAACCACTCTGGAAGACGAGCATTCAAAAATATGACTGAGGATAATTTTCGAAACGTGTATGCGACTCTCTGGAAAATTAAACCGCGTGCCTGATAATTGATACTAGTATTTTCGACATATTGTCAAATACATAAACACGAAAGGCCAGCAACTTACCCTATCTACAGCATTTACATTTGCACCGTGCTGTAACAGGAGTTTTACAACAGCTCCCTGACCATACCATGCGGCAAGGTGAAGGGGCGTCAAACCAAACTGCAAAATAGAAGCAAAACATTGACTTAAAGTTTTAACCGATCTACCAAAACTATCAAAATAGAAAGAACACAGACACCAGAAACTAAACAGGAAAAACCGGAAGATAAAGCAAACAACCTTATCTGTTTGGTCGACATCTTCACCACTTTCAAGAAGTGCTTTGATGACGTTACATCGACCGTTGATGGCAGCTTTGTGTAGTGCCCCTCTTGATAACTGTAAGAAAACGTGCGCGGAAATACATTAAAATTTCAGTGGGCTTTTTTAAACGTAGCACAAATACAAACGTGCAGAGTATGAGTCAGATGTCAAGGATTTGAGGTGGTAGCGAGTGCACCTTATGCTGGGAGCAAGCACGATGTAAATCAACCAAAATACGAACAAAAATAATAAGAACATTTCTAAATCTACATATTGTAACGCATTGTGGCATTTTTCCACTATACTTGTTTATATGGCTGAATCAAGATCAGACTTAATTAAAGGAAAACATCGAGCCGCAAAAATGAATCCCAACATTACAGCAAGTCAGAAAATTGCTTATTCTTATTCAATCAGAAAATCGCTTATTCCACTAGATTCTATTCGTGTCCGTCCGATTCCATCGGACACCGATGGAAAGCATTTTTGAGGCCTATCTATCATTCCGATGGAAACACTTCATCGGACTCTGATGGAATGCAATTTTAGGGCCTACCGTAAAACCTAAATACGATTTTCTCTCATCATCAGAAAATCGATCACTCCGATGGAATCCAGTGGATTCTATCCCCGTCCATCGGAATCCAATGGGTACCGATATAGGAATACATGTCATCAATTTACTGACTTCCGGTGAATTGAATCATTCCCACTCCCGGTGGTATATGTCCATTTTCACCAATAGACTTCCGGTTTTCCGATAAAAAACATATTTTCCGATAGAATCTATTCGTGTGTATTGGACAACCCACAGTCCCGTTTAAAAGAAGTTTAGAAACCCGAATTCATGCACCAAAACTTTGTAGAATTTTATTAGACAGATAGACAGACAGATTCCTTTGTTTAATTTCAAGGCTCAAGAAGGTCCTTTCAGATGCTTGAAAGCAACCTGCCATTTATGGGATTCCTGAGCGCAATTTAATAAATGTCATATAAAAGTTGCACAAAATGAATGTAATCACACACATAATATTAAAATTTTAAAAGTATTGGACTTACTTTGGCATTCTCAGCTCTAAGCTTGCATTTCAAGTCCGGATTGTTTGCCTAAAATTAGAGATGCAACAAGGCATTAAGAAAACATTTGTACGTTACAGGTATAGTGTACTACTCTAAGTCCTGCTTTCCGTGTGGGTCCTCCACTCGAATAAAAGTTGTATAGCAAGTTAACTTTTCTCCAGTAATGGTTTGAGCTCAAGAGTGATATTTGATAGTGTAGTTTTTCCGCGGAGAAGGACTGTTGAAGGAAATGGGCACTGTCGTTCCGAAAACCTTTCTATAACTCTTCGTCTATCTAATTGTCCTCTTGTCGGTTTTGATTCTCTCGGGTAATTTAAAACATGATTTCTATCCTCGTGTTAGTGTACATCGTAGCTAACACAATGCTGATTTTTCATCTACACGAGTTTTAGGCCTGGCAAACCCGACAACCACACGATTTCATATCAACCCCAGTAAATAAATTATATTTTTGTCTAAATCTGAGCCTTTGACTGGAAACTATCCGTCATCAGATTATGTTACCTTTTCACTCATTTGGCGGGTTTCTTTAGAAGTGGCGTCTGTAGACAAGACGCTTGATTCTGTAGAGTGAACACTCTTGCTACCTTCCTGATTTATAGCACTGACGCTGATGCCTGCATAGTTTAACAAATGCAATCGGGTTAATAAAATAAAAAAAAGGCATGTGTTTCTTGAAATAACCGAGGTACGGTCGGTGAATTTCTATGTTTGTTTTTTTTTGTTCGCAGTTAAAGGTGCGACATGGGAATTATGTTAGAAACCCTTAAATTACAGAATGATTAGGAATCTTAATCACGTGCGTTTTGACAGTACTGGCGTGTCCAATCAGCAAAACTGCACAATCTTGCAACATAATAATGACAACTTATCTATCTGTTTCTAGCCACGTGGTCCCTAACTCGCTCGCGAGTGTCAATGGGAAATTTACACACTTTTGTGGGTGAAATTGTTGGCGACCAGAAGAGTCTTACAACATTGTTTTTCACTGAAATTTTATAAGTTGTTTTTAAACTTACCGTCGAGCTTGTGCTCAACTTTTCGAAGTAAGGATTCCATTCTATCAAATCTATCCATCATACTGGTGTGAAAGGAAAACAGCTTTTCTATCACTCTTTCGTTCTCCTCCCTAGTTGGCATGTCGTCCAATTTGTCATTAATTGAAGCAAATTTGACGTTTTGAAATTTTTCCAGTAGATCTTTGACGTCATTGTCAACAATCCGCTTGAAACCTAAAAATGATGACTGTACAATAAATGGTGGTAATAATGATAATAGCAATAATTATGATGATATTAATAATAATGATAATAATAATAACGATAATAATAATAATAACAATGTCAATTCTGATGTCGATGATGATAATGATGATGACTGTATTGATATAACGCAGAGATTAAGCTAAGTAACTGGTGAGAGGAAATCATTTGTCACTGTAGATACGGCATTTGAGTAATAAATAAAACAGTTTCTACTTTATATTACTGAAGCGGGCTCCTCTGAGTTTGCTGTTCCGCTTACTTAATTGCAACGACCAGGTTGGCACAGGGGAAACCCCTGAAGCGGAAATTCGCGTGAGTTGCCGAGAGAATGAAAACATCATGGCAGTCGAAGGCGGTCTAGTTTGATTTGACGAGATTAATAAATGATAAATGATCACAAATATATTCAAAGGGCCATGAATGGAAGCCAGGAATATTCCCTGCCACAGATTATACAATGGGCTTAATCCCTGTGAATGGAGAGTAGTCAAGCGTCATGAGCACGAACAGGGTTAGGAGTTTGTGCTGAGTTTGGTTCCTAAGCGGTTAATACTCTCGAAACTTCGTTTAGACGTAGAAATTGAAAATGCAACCAAAAATATTTTATGTTTTCAAATCTCTTGGAAGAATGCCCTGTGATCTCTGAAAAGCCCGTCTCTACTCTCTTTAAGCGTATTTCCATTTCTCTTGAGTTAACATCCGACCTGGAGAATTGCCATATTAACAACCTTAGCTATTCGTTGAATGGTTAAATTCCACTCGAGTACCTTCTGTTTTCCATGCTGAGAGTTGATCTAAAAGCTCCTTCTTTTTGGCGGGAAGCAGGGGCAGATATTGGAGCAGAGCCTTTAACTTGTCAAAGCACTGGTCAAAGAAGATTTGGGTCCAGTCACTCTCTTTAAAATGACTTCCCCGATTCCTAACATTATCTCTGACATCATCTGCCAACGGCTGAATATCGTGCAAGGGATCGGAAGACACGAATACTTGTACGGGATACTTCCTACATCCCAATAGTCTAAGAGCGGCATTCAAATCCATAGATTTGTCGAATGCCGAGAATTCTGCAAGGTAGTATGGAAGATAAAGCTTGGCAAGATCAACTAGGCTGTTTACATTGTAGTTATAAGCCGTTTTGGTCTTTCCATGAACACCAGAGTTGTTGTTAATATTTCCGAAATTTAGGTCTTTAAGCGAAGAAGCAGGACTTGGAGTGGCTGCCAGATGGCATACATCTGCATAGGTCAGTGTTTGTAGGCTGCAAGGTGTCGGTAAGCCATTAAGGTAATTATCTAGGGTAGCATACAGCTTGTCCATTCCTTGTTTCACGACATCCTGTAAAACTGGAGCTACGACCTTATTTGAAGTAACCAGAGTCACAAGCCATCTTTTGTCGTTACCAAGGACATCCATAGTAACAAATTTTTCTGCTCAATGTACTAAGTTCTGGATATGATCTGCAAAATACACATAATTTTAAAAAATGCAAATTAGTAACAGAGGTGCTGTGGCTTTTAAACTAAAGAAATGTAGGCAGAAAGTTTCCATCACTGAAAATAAATAAAAACTGAGGGATAAGTCACCACTTGGTCACAATGATTAAATTATCATTATTCCACAGTTGCAGCCCCACATTCAGTAACACAAAGAGGATGGAATCATGATTGCATCAAACTTTAAGGGCCAAGTTACTCATATCACACTCAGATTACAAATAAAAGAGGAAGCTTGGTCAAGGTGGTGTAAATGAAGTTTAATAAAAGAGACCATAAAAAGAAGTTGTTCTTTCAGGTTCATACATCTTACGATCCATTGACTCCTACAACACATCGTCACACGAAGCAAACGGCACAATCAATTCATGACAAATAGATATGGATCGGTTATTGTTTGACTAAGAGATACAGCCTCACAATGATTTTAATTGTTCTCAAAACACGTAACACTGCTTTTTAGCGTGTAATTCCCTTCTGGACGCTGCTCCAGTGAATAAAATGATTAGAGTGTGACAAAAACAAAACAAAACTAAAGTAAAAACAGCTCATGTCAGAGTTGTCACGGTATAACGTGAGGAACTTGAGTGAAACGAAGCCCTCTGATCGCACGAGGAAATGATCGATAACTTTTTGCTTGAGGGAAAAGCCCGGTTAGCTTTTATTTCATCAAGATTTCCCACTCTTATTATCATTTACCCCCTTGGTGCTCTATTTCATTCAGTCTTTGTGACGATTACGAGTGTATGTTTGAGCCACTGAGGACTTCTTCTAGTTCCGGAAACACTCCAAAGAATTGTATATCTTTCCGGAGTCTTAACTTTGAACTCACGTAGCTGCTCTGGAGAATTTGAAGCTACCGATTCGAGCAAATACAGTTGTACAACACCGTACTGTGTAAGAGTAGATCGGCAACAATTCTTCATTTTAACATTAAATATTGAACAGAGGAGCGATTATAGGGACCTTTAAGCGTTAGGGTTAGGATTGTCTAACCATTTCACGCTTCGTCGTGAGCACATCATGATTTCAATCATGCAAATAAGCCACATTTAACATACATTGCAGCAAACTAGGCACAAACAAATAAGAGGTTCCTGGAGGTTTTAAAATAAAAATAATTTCAATACCGTTGCATTCTCAGTGACTGACATTGAACTTTTACGCTCAGTTATCTCTAAAAGTACAACGCTTAACGAAATGGATTTGAACAACCTTCCTGCTTTCCAAATCAGTCAGGTGCCAACTCCGATAGCTTATTCGTTGTAAAATTAACCGACACACACTGAAATTTAAGGTGGCGCTCATTTGTAACGATGAAGTTTTGCGTAGCCTAAATGCACAGCAATTTCAAATTGAATGAGTGAAAACTATTATCAAATCTTAAATCCAAAACGAAATCGCAACTGATATTTACTTTCACTAAGTAAACAAGAAACTACCACAAATTTTCGTTTCTTGGTAACTGAGCCTTGCTTCTTCAGTTTGTGCTCATTGGCTTCCAATTTTCTAATTGTGCTCATTGGCTTCCAATTTTTCCAATTTTCCATTGTGGGTTCAATATGTGGAGAGATTGGAGGACAATATTCAAAAGATCGAGTCCTCTGTGCATTTTATTTCAAACCGCGGCGTATTGTCACCACCAAGCGCATAGTTTCCGTTCCAAATAGACAACTTTTGGATCTTAGTTTCGTCTTTACCTGGTTATGCGATTAGAATGATCATAACATGAAGCCATAGGATGCGTATTCTGCCAAACATCTCAAATCGCTTGTCTCGTAATTTGAATTCTTTGCGAGCAAGCAATTGATATGTACTGCTTATTAAATTCATTTCTCGCTGAAGCTTACTGTAATTTGAAGCTTTTTTTTTTCACCCCTTGACAGATATTCATTCGTACAAAAATGTTCCGAAGAGACGATAATGTCTTAGAAAAAATTCTTGACCCAATTAGAGCGTGTTTCAAAGAAACCAAATGCATTAACGAGATAGTTTGGACGGAAGTCTAAATCGTGCTATTTCGTTTGCGCTTATTTAGCATCAGTTGTTGTCGTGATTTCAAGGATGACTCGAGAATGAACACAAAATGGTGATAATTAACTAAGAGATGCGCCTCACGCGAATGATAGTGTTCGAATTTTTTCGTCTCAGTCCAAGAGTTCGTTAGATAAACCTCTGTTTCAGTTGTATTGAATTAACTGGTTAGCTTAGGGATTAAAAAGCTGTTAAGCCTACCTTAACACTCAACTTAAAGTGAGAAATATCCTCAAAAAAATATCCTTGAAGCTGCAAATAAGCGGCTGGGATGCTTGAAAAAATATCCACGAATTACGAAGGCACCTTTACACGCCAGTTCCTTCGAGGATTTAATAAAATATCGGAAATGGCGAGTGAAACATGAGATATTGTGCACTGGTTAGTTACGCCCCTAGCAACGGGAAAGCCCATCTTTGACCTTGCACAATCCTAAGCCAGGTGAGAAGTTGCCCTCAAAAATGAACTGACTTTGGATAGCTTCGTGTTAAGACAGAAATGACCTAACAAATGCAAACCTACAAATGCTACAATTACAAAGAAAACTAGACTGAATTAGAAAAGTAAGAGGATCTCTATCAGACAATGACGTCATATTCGAATTCATCCGATAAACGACCGTTTTAACCTCCGATCTAAAAAAAACAGGTTCACACTTTTAACATCACGCAAGTACGTCGAGTGACATACGAGCGACATTCGAAATCTTAGACATACGGATTCACCGTCAAACCGGCCGGGATGCCTCCACAAATGGCCAGCGGTTACAACTGCTCCAACTCCACCTTCGTACCGTGAATGGACTATGAGTGAAATACTCAAGAATGCACAGTCACCTATGCAAAGTATAATGGTCATTAGTTGGATGCATCCCTAGAAAGGGGAAGTACATTTTATGTACAATGGATTTGAGCTTGGACCCATTTGAGGCCAAGTGCCAAAAAGTGCCTAAAAAGAGTTGATTTTCGATACCTTAATGTTTTAGATATACAAATGACTCAAAAAACACAAACATTAAATATGCGGGAAAAAAACCGAAAAAAATTTCGTTTGAAAAAACAGGCAAACTGACAAACGACCTCAAACAGCACGAGCCCCAATATTTAATTGTAAATATTTTATTATGAATTGTAAATTGAGTGTTCACGGTAGCGTGACAGTAGTGTGACGGTAATAATTTATAAGCTTCCTTAGCCACGTCAGCGGTCGCGATCACAATGTAGAGCCTTGCCTCATCTCCTGGCTTCAAACCACAATTATAGCAAATTGGTTTTCCTAGCTGTACAGACAGATGCCGTGGTCTTTAAACGAAGTATCTTACGTGGAGGGAGACCAGTTTCCGCAAAATGAGACAGCACACAATTGTAATAGTGAAGAAAAATTAGAATTCAACAATAATTCAGCAACCAACACATTCGGCATTGGCTTGCGAGTTGTTCCTCTACACGACTGGAAATCAGATGAGGGCGATGGTGCCAGTATCCCAGACGGTGGTTTAGGCACAGTTGTCGACTTTGTCGAGAATGCTGCTGATACATCTAAGAAGATGGCATTGGTACAGTGGGACGATGGAACTCGCTGTGTTTACAATGCAACCCGTAATGGTGTCTACGATCTTTGTATTTTTCATATGTCTTCTTTGGGTAAGTGGGTTGCTTTGCCACATCATGTTATGTGTGGCATTACACTTCTTTTCATGGTTTAAAAACGCATTAAGAAACATGACTCGGATCAAATAATGATCCAAGGAAGCTTTGATTAGTTGCAATAAGTTCCATGATATACTT